AAATGGACGGAAGTGACGGACGGTAAGCCCAACAAACGGAAGTTACAAAAAGGGGCTATTTTCTTCCATTTTTATAGGTTAGGGGCTAAAACCGTTATGTTATAAGGTGAGGGGTCAAAATCGTCCAACTTATCAAGGTAAGGAGCTATTCTTAGGCTTTTGCCATTTTTCGGGTACCACTAGCATGTACTAATTGCCCTCTTTAAAAAAAATTACATCTCATTTATCTATCGATTTCAGTGTTCCCACTAGGACGATTAGTGCAGGGCAACAACTCTGAAGAGTCACCCTTGGAAAAAGCTTGCTACAGTGCAATTATGCGAAGTCATGAATTGATTGCGCTCTGTTCCAGCATGTGATTGTGGACCAACAGTTCCAAATTCTAATGAGACTAGACTGGAAAGAAATGAGTGCACCCGAATTGAAATTCAATGCCAATGCAGTACTAGAATGCAAAGCTTTGTTGAACACGAGGAGTTCAGCTTTTACCTTTTCTTTTTTAGTACCCATCAACTTTATGCTGTACATTATTGACTATAAATCAGGTCTGGATAGAGAATGATAGGTCGATTTTACTTTTTTTTTCTCTTTATTTTTTCTTTCATTATTTATGTATTGATTCTTTAATCTTACTTTACTTGATTAGACTCTACTAATTATTATGCTGTACATTATTCACTATAAAATAGGTCTAGACAGAAAATGACAAGTCGATTTTACCTTATTCTTCTCTTTACTCTTTCTTTCATTATGTATGTATTGATTTTTTAAACTTGCTTTACTTGATTAGACTCTGCTAATTATTATGCTATATATTATTGACTATAAACCAAGTCTGGATAGAGAATGACAAGTCGATTTTACCTTATTCTTCTCTTTACTCTTTCTTTCATTATTTATGTATTGATTCTTTAATCTTGCTTTACTTGATTAGACTCTGCTAATTATTATTAATACTAAACCGAAATTTTCATATTGGACCATTTGTTTGTTCTTTAGATAACAAAATGCATATTAATAGTTGGATGAAGGATTATTTGCAAAAGAAGATTAGTTATTGGCTGCCATAATTTTTCAGGGAATAAGTAAATTCGAAGATGATAATCAAGGATTTAGGAAGTGGCACTGGCACATCAAGGAGGAAGTGGGAATTTTTGTAGCTGGATAACTTTGAATTTACTTCCAAAGGCTAAATTCAATTGATTTTGGCTTTGGGAAGATGGGGAATGAAATTTGCAAAGCAACAAATAAGCCTGAGCAATCGAAAAACCAAGGATAGAGAATTTGAAGAATTTACTACTTATTTGATTAGTGTTAGTGGTTATATTTTGTTCAAATTATAAAAATAAGTTAGTATTGATAACTTCCTAGAAGTAGTTAAATTTTGATGGCAAATTTTATTTTTACATTAGCATAGAATGAAAAAATGCATATAAAAAAATTTCCTTGAAAAATAAAAGTAATAATGTTTTTTCATTCATGTATTAGTTTAGTAGAAAATTCTTAACATTTAGATTTAGTTATTCTTAATTTAGTAAAGAAGTTTATCAAATTTAGTTTATTTTTATAATTTAATTAAAGATTCATT